TCAGTCCCCGCTCTCCCCTCAGGGCTCTCCCGCTCAGTCCCCGTTGTCCCCTCACGTCGCTCCCGCCCGCCCCCGTCCCCTCAGGGCGCTCAGCCCGGCCCGCGCCTGCGCAGTGGGCACCCGGCGCCATCCGGGTCCCGGCGCGGCCATGGCGACGGTGGCGGAGCTCAAAGCAGGTCGGGGCCGGGCCCGGGGCTGTCTCGGGCCGCCGGGAGGGCGGGAGGGCGGCGCGGGCACTCGGAGGGGTCTCAGAGCTGCCCCGGGCGCTAATGGGGACCGCTGTCCCTGGTCTCTCGGCGCTGCCCCCGTCCCTCAGCGGTGCCCCCGTCCTCTACTGTGGGCTGTATTTTGGTTGGTATATTTCAGCATTAAACGCGTCTTGGTGCAGTAACATACTACTTCTGAAACTGCCGGAACGCGTTTTTGAGACTAAAAAAAATTATATTTGTGACTTCTCTGAAGGCTTAATTTTTATCTGTGGCGTGCCCAGACTGGTGGGTGCTGGCACGATACCTTATCGCTGTCGCACTGGGGACACGCCTAAACTCTGCTTGTAAGGGGCTAATTAATGCTGCTGCTTGAATGCGTTTGGCTTTAAATTAATGCGTCTTTTTATGATGATAGTTTTAAAGGACACCCTGGAAAAAAGAGGAGCTCTTGCCCAAATMAAAGCGAGGATCAGAGCTGAAGTGTTTAACGCCCTGGACGACCAGGGCGAGCCTCGGCCGACGCTGTCCCGGGAAAACCTCCTGATCAATGAACTCATTCGGGAATACCTGGAGTATAACAGATATAAATACACAGCATCTGTTTTGATGGCAGGTATTGGGCGTGAATTTCTGTCATCACTATAATAGTGATCAGTGATTGTTTGGTTGAGTAATTCTGCTGATATTATGGAATTAGTAAGTGTGACAAATTGCATCATCTTCCCTTAGGAATTAATCGGGTACAACAGTTCTCTCCACAGTTCTACTTGCACCATTAAGTCAAATAATTCTGTTACTTTTCAAGAAAATGCTCCACTCCGTTACCCTTGAGGTAAATAGTTTGACAGAGTAGTTGATGCAAGAGCAAGAAAACTTGACAGCAGCCTGGCAATTCAAAATACCTTTCCTGAAATGTCTGAGAGTACTAGCTTAGAGCAACACTAGTTTGCCTGATGAATTTATCTTTATACTGTAAGACTTCTTTAATRWTTTCCTTAGATTCTTTCAGAGTCAAGATAAAAATTGTAATATTCTGGTGTAAATTATACATGTGTGAATTACTAATGTTTAAGTGAGTTCCCTGGAATCACAATATACTGTTAGTTACTGATAGTCTAAAAGGGAGGTGTGTGCTCTTGTGCTCTTTTGAAATCTTCTGTTAATTGGTGATGTTTTTCTTCTTTTGTCTTAAAAATTCGGGGAATTTTTTTTACAGAATCTGGCCAGCCTGAAGTGCCCTTGGATAGACAGTTTCTCGCCCAAGAGCTGAATATAGTCGAAGACGCAAGTGGAAAATCAGTGTAAGAGGAGTTTTGGAATACACAGTATATTCTGTATTTCAGTATATTTTTCTCTTTGGTGTTATTATAAATCACATATAAATGTTCTCACCAACCAATGTGGCTGTTCCCATGCCTGTCTGATGTGTTGGATTCAGCTTCAYGATGCCAAACATGGGGCTATTTTCAGACATATTGCAAACTGACATTTAATTCTGCCAACAGGATGGCACTTTCCAAACAGTGTCCTTGCACACCAAAATACAGCTCTCGTACCAGTACAGTCTGTTTTCTACAGAAAGTAGATCTGCTCTTTGCATATCTGTGAATTGCTGTGTGGAGCAATAAAGAGATTTCCGTGAGATTAGATATAAAGTCCCAGTGCTCCAATACAAGTGCACCAATGAGCTGAGGGCTGAAGCAGGTTCAAGCGTGTTCAGCATTCTCTGTAGCTTGTGCTGTCTGAATCTGACAGGGGCTTAGGAAGAGCCAAGTTTGGGGTGTGCCATGGTGGACTGGCCTGTAGCCCACCAAAGTCTGATCCTTTGCGAGTGTATGGATCCTTCTCATCTGAGAATGTGGATTTGTGCTCTCATGCTAAACATGCTCTGGTTCTTCACCTGCCAGGGGAGCTGGAGTTCAGGGGAGTGTCTCTTAGTCCAAGTTTTTTATGGGGGTGTTGGTGTTCAGGGGGAGTTTAAGCACAAGTCTGTGTTTATTTATGTAATGATACTTGRTGTAATGTGTCTTGAATCATTGAAGACATCTGCACGTATTGTAGAAGTAAATATTAAGATGTAGGAACTCCTGGGGAAAGGGTATCTTTTTAATGCTCAATATTTCATAGCCTTTATAGAATGCCTTTGTCATTTCTCTCTTAAACAGACCTCTCCTGTATGGAATTCTCTCTCATTTCTTACATCGTGGTAAAGAGGAAAGTACTCAGAATATCCTTCCAAAAGTGTCTTTGCTGAATTACCCAAAGCAGAACCTTGGCAAACYACCAACAGAGAGAAATCAAAAAGGTGGGTGCAATGTCATATTTRCAGAACTTYYATCTGTGACTAGATTTCMTATACCATGCATATAACAGCATAARCATGCAGCTGGACACARTGTAACTCCTCTGTGCAAGCAATGCTTTCATCTGACACCCTTTTGTAAGAGAAAGTCTTCAGTAGAACAGTGTTTACACCTTGAAAATAACATTAAGCTGTATGACTTGGCTATACCTCTTGCTCAGGTATTCATGCAAGAAAGGTCCTACTTTATCTAACTCAAGAAAGACCCACTTATGATTCCTCAAACTACCTGTGTACGTGCCTTTGTTTAAATAAGTGACCAAGTGGCATATTATTTCATTTTTTACTGTGGAAATTTATTACTCTTCTGTTAATATTATGAACTATTTGGTTTTTATCCAAAATTTTGAAAAGTATGAGGCCTGAGGTCTTACTGACATCTGAAACTGTGAGAAGTACTAACAGTTTTTAAATAGTAAATTCACTGAGACAATGCTATTTTTCTTCTGCCAGAAGAGGGGGCTGAAGAAATAAAATTTCCATACCCAAACTGCTATAAATTACCTCTTTGTTACAAAACAGTGATTACTATCAGAAATTYCTCCATTTTCAAAACAAACTGAGTGTATAGGAGAATTGTTTTTAAAGTATACTTTTGTTTCTACTGACCGTGCAGGGTCACCCTGCCCTGTTGACTCCAATAGAACTTCACATGGAGATTTAATTGGTTATAGTTAGTTATAGAACTCAGGATTAATCGTAAAACACAACAGCACACTGCTTTTAGAACGAACCAAAACCTATCCATTGCAAGGCTTGTAACCTTTAAGTAACTATAATCTGAAATTACTTTCTTCACGTTTTTGTGGGATATGTTAGGCAGTGCATTTAAAATACTAATTATCCAGCTCTTTTAATTAAGCTGCATATTCAGGTAGTCAAGTCCATTCATAAGCTCAATCTTCCCAGTCTCCTGTTTAATATCTAACAAGCTTTTCACTTTAGAAATGATCTTRTTTATTTAGATGTATGAGTATTCCYCAGCAGACTGGGGATCTGRTKAAAYGTGTGGAATTGGTGTTTCTTTAGCTCATTCACTATAGCTGAATTGGAAGTTGTCTGAAATCTAAYCTTAGTGATGCAAAGCTTTTATCTCATACAGCTGCATGGAAACATTTATCTGTAAAATTTCCTGAGTKCCCTGTGAKGATACTGTGTATCAAAGTGGATAGTAGTAGAAAATAACACACCTTGGACCTCCAGATGCATGAGAATGTTTTTGTCTGTGTTTCATTTTCAGACAGAATTCCAGAACCAGGAAGGATGGCTGGCACAAGCATTGAAGAGCCCCTTATTTTACAAAGTATAAAGAGATGATATCTTTGGTTTGCTAATTTCTCGTATCAAGGCCTKTCAGATTTAATTTAGGACATTCTTCATTGCATAAAGCCCATTCCAATAAACCTAATGGGACCATTCTAGCTTGTAACATCTACTCATGAGACAGGATGACAAGGTCATCCTGCAATGAAAAAAATGTTAGCTGGGCTCTCTTCCTCCAGTGCTGATAGAAGGAAAACCATATAGGGAGTCATATAAGTGAATCCTGTTTTTAGAATAGCACCTGAATKTACTGTCTTTATCCAATAAATTTTTATATGGTAACTTAGCATGTCTGCACATACATCTTTGTGTGTTTTTCTGAATAAAATTTTTCAATTTTATTCTGTGTGATATTTTGAGAGTGTTCAAATGAAACATTTTAATCATTATTTTTAAAAAGAAGCTGCAACTTTCAGATAAGTAAGGGAAAAGAAGTTTTAACAGAAAAATGAAGTGATTTAGAGGGAGAGTTGTTTTTAATTCTCCGGAAGTGGGGATTGTATCTTCATGCCAGCAAACAAACGAGTAAGTTTTTTCCATCTGGACTTGCTATAAATTGTATGGTGTAACACTGGGTATATGGGAGGGGAAGGAAMTTCTGTGTTTTTTTCCCAAACAACATGAAACTCAGAGTTAAGCAAAGCTAAAAATAAAGTTGATAGTAGATTACTGATTCCCAGAACTCTTTTTTAGCTGAGGTATTTACATGTTTTGAAATGGTAATTTATTTTAAAAGCCAAACTTACAGGGGTACATAAAAAATAACATCTATTTTTTTCTCTACTAATTTTAACAAAATATATAAATGKTAAATGTTTCCAGTGGTACTGAGARGARTTTTGTATAAATAAATATTTAGGGTTATGTTCTTAAAATCTTTWTTGTTCGGTAAATGTTACAGCGAGTTGGTGGGGGAAAAGAGAGCAAGAGAACCTGCAGTTTGTGAATTTGAAAGGACCCCAGTTGTGCACACTGTGAAGTTTTGCCTGGATCTTGATTTGTTCCAGTTCACRTTGCAGGGATACTTTCATTTCTACAGGCAGCCTGTACTCCAATGTGAAATTGCAGAGAGGCTGCATTTATCCTTGTGGAGCCTCAGCAGTGAGCTCATCTCCTTCGTGTGACTGGCAGTGCTGGCAGCTCCCTGTTGGCTGATTTGATTTGTGAGTGTCTCAGGACTGTTGCCAGGAGGGGAGGACATGTGTTTGCAAATAAACCTCCCTCAAATCCATCTGTAAGTCTTCTGCAGCTTTGCATCAGTGGCAGGTGACCACTGGATCAGGCGAGGGAATCTGTGTGCCCTCTGTTTGCTCTGTGCTCACACCTCCACCACCTTCAGCTACTGCGCYGAAGAGCCATCCCTGAATTTTTATTTTGATTTTCCAGAGGTTCAGTGCTAGACCTCTGCTTTTCCATGAACCAGTGGATCAAATTGTTACATAAGTTTGGATTCTGAATTGTCTTTTCGAGGGCAGAGAAAAAGGCTCTGGAAAACACAAAATGTTCTATGCTATGCAAATGTTTCGGTGTAACCAAAGCCACYGCTTCTGCTTTCTGTCTTCTCACCATAGATCATTCAGATGCTGCCCAGGTGCCATGGAGCTCCCTGGGAAATGAATTTTTAGTGGTAGAAATCAAATACAATTTTTGCCCAGGCTGAAGAAAGCAAAGGGATATTTGGTACTCRCCCTTTCCCAAACACACAGCTAAGCAGGCTCCTGTCTCCAGTCGGGAAAGCAGAGGGTGTTACAAGGGCATCCTTTACTGAGCTGTGAGGAAAAGGGGTATGTCTGAAATCAGAGAAGAAATAAATGTAAAACAAGGGGAATCTTTGGTCTATTTTCCCTGGGGATTCACTCATTGTCCTGACACTGCACTGAAACAGTGGGTGGAATTTGCCCTGATTGCTCTGGGTGCAACTTGCATTTCATCTAATTCTCCAATATCCTCACAGCCTACATTTGGGGTTTTGAAACAATCTCTTGTTTCAAAGTATAGTCATTGTACAAGCAAACTAAAAGCAAATTGAAGTGTATTTCCAGTGATATTTATTTGTGCAGCAAAGCTTTGAAATATGTCTGTGAAAATATACTGGTCTAATCATATTATTAATGGTCTAGCATTTATCTTCACAGTACATGAAATAYGAGAATATCTTTCAAGATGCTGACAAACAGCAAGTCCCATGCATGTCAGACTCCCTGCCTTGTTACCAGGTGAAGAGGAATTGCAAAATCTATACCATGTGGATGYACCTAGCATTCCTTAAAATTGTCAGGTGAGATCAACATTTAGATCAAAGTATTTCACAGTCCTAGARCCGCAGGTTCAGTTTTTAGAAGAAATTGCCACCTAGGTGAGCATTACACAAAAATTATTTTCTCAATTTCAGAAGCTGCATCTATCTTAATTACAGCTGGGATGTTTTGCATTAACTGCCTTTATTCTTTGTACTGACAACAGAAAACAAAAAAAAAAATACAAGCATATAGAAGTTTAGGAGCTTTAAATAGCAAAATGCATTTCTGAAGTTTGTTGGAGATAGAACATTTACCAAGAGCATTATGGAGGGAATTCTGTTAAAAGAGGCTGTTTGTTGTCCAAGCACATTATCACAAGTGAAGGTGACAAGGAGCCAGGGAAGTCTGGTATGGGTATCAGATCTGGAAAGCGCTTTGGAAGAATTTAACCCACAAGCTTTAAAAATAAAAAAAATCCTTAAGACCAAATTTTTGTTTTCTCCTCAAATGAGAGCAAACTATGCCTCTAGGCTCCAGGGCAGCTGTGCTGTTTCAGAGGTTTTAGTTTCTGCCCTTCACAGGGGAGGTTTTTTCAGAGCTTTATCAGCTCCCTGTGAGGAGTCGGTTACTCTCTCCTTCCTGAGCACCCTCGCGTTGGGCACCCAATCTCGGTGTCACTGGATCAGTTTTCCGGAGGAGTGATTATCCTCGGGCATTCACATTTGGGAAAAGAAACCCCAAAAGATTTGTTCCCACTTGCAAAGGCACCCTTTCAGCAGCTGCTGGTTCAGACCTGACCTGTGCACTTCACAGGCTTCACCTGAGCACTGCAGCCAGCATTAGGCACAAACCTTAACATCAAGCAGGTGGTGAGAATATTCCCTCATCAGACTGTTCTCAAGATTGATTGTACTTGGACACAGACTGTCCTTCCCTTGCAAGGGCACAGCCTGACACAAGTGGCAATCCATCAGTACAATCACCGATTCCAATTCCATTTGTCAGCTTAGAAAACATGGTTGGTAAAACTCAGGTAAAARCATTTTTAAACAAATGAAAAATTGCTTATCTGATGCATTATCTAACAAACTAGCATCACCATCTGTGCTTTTCTTTTTTTCCCCTTTGTTGTGTTCAGGTTACACCATAGTAAGGCAGCTGAAAGTTCATTGCTTTCCTTCTTGGGTCCTCTTTCTTTTCCCCAAGTACAATATTTACAGTGCAAATTCAGTAAAGAGATATTTAAGGGCAGGCTGCTCCATACTTTATTTTTTTCTAGAAAAGTAATTAAAACAAATAAATTGAGGGGGTTTAAACAAAGCTTATTTTTTTGTCACAAACTCATCATCCCCTGGGAGTCCACAGCTTTCATTTTGAGGGAACTTTGGTTCAAAACAAAGCATTCAGGAACCCCCAACCAGGCTATCAGATTAGTATATTCTTACATTAACTTTCAAGTGAAGGTTGGAAGCCATGCTTACACTTATCAGTTCCTACCCCACATGGCTTTGAGAGTGCAACTCTTTCAGTCCCAGCAGTAATATTTTTTTAGACTTTCCAGCTCCGTTTAATGTCACATCATATATCACCCTCCAGCAGTGTTGCTGTTAAACACCCTCCTTGGGCAGCAAGCCTGCATGTGCAGTGGTTTGCAGACCAGCCAGAATAATTTCCACTCCTTTTTAAGCTACTATTATAATGTGTCTGGTTTTGTGAAACAGCTGCATGTGTTTAAAAGGAACTTCTTGGGATAACTTTGATGAATGTTAAAATTATCATGCTTTTCAGAGGATCCCCTTGCATTTCATTATTTTTCTATTTAAAAGCTAAGTTTGCAACCAAGAAACTGCAGGGGGGTAAAGTAAAATAGGATGAACCACCCTGCCCTGTCAGGAACTTTCTGCTAAGAAGGGCAAGTTTCTTGGATTTATGTCGTGGTGATCATTTCCCTGGCTTTGCTCCAAAAAAGCCACACATGCACGAGTCTGATATGGCACTGCTGGGTCCTGGAAGGCTCTGCATGGCTCCATGGCAGCCCCACACCACCAGAGACACCAACCCTCCCTCTGGCAGGACGGGCTGTGACCTCTGGGACTGTGACACCGCCCTGGCAAATCCGAGCTTCTCCAGCTGAGACCCAAACTTGACTCTGCATCTATTATTGCTGAAATGTTGCGGGCAGAAACCCCAGGGCTCTTTTCCTCCCTCCTCTTTGTCCAAATTTTTTCACCACTACCCAGAGCTAGAAGAAGGGGCTACAGGTCTGTCATACCTGCAAGTTCCTAACCAAGTGACAGCACAGGTTTTGAACTCAGCCTCCCCTCACAGGTATTTCTTTAGGATGATGAGACCAATATGAGCCCCATCCATCTTCCCTGGGAGGGTTTAATTTCCAGAGAAGACRGGGCTGTTGATGTCAAGGGAAATAATTTCCCTCAGGCCTGTGCTCCGATCCTTTGGGTAKACACCATATTTAGTCTGTTGCACAGAGGGGGTTGTTTCGGTATTTTGTATTTGGCACGTTGATGGGAATTCCTAGAGGATCCTAGCTTTCCCTTTTTGGGATATCTCCATCCACAGGTCCTACTGCACAAGGCTGTTGGCTACTGGGGGAGGAAGGAGGGGGGACAGCTGGGGACTGAAGGGACTGTGGGGTGTGAGGAAGGTTTGATGAGGACCAGATCACTCGCTAACCCCTGCGGGTCCGGCTCRCAGTGCCCGTTCCTTCTCTCCCTGCCAGCACACAGTGCCTGCTCCCTGTTCTTTCCATGCATCCAGGGACTGTGCCCCCAGCTCTCCATGGCTTCTYRTCCACATTTATRGACAGAGGGAGATATTTCTAAAATATGAACAAGTATTTACAGTCCTTTCTCAAGAACTGAGCTGGACACTGGGTAGCAAAAGAGACTTTGGCAAATCTGCTGGGAAACAGCCCTTTTGTTTGTCAGGGGCAGAGGAGGGTAAAACCAGCCCCAGGCTCCAAATGTCATAAAAACACAGGGGGACCCAGAGCAATCTTCACCCACACAGACCTGCTGGGTCAGAAAAAACCCTCTCTGCCCAAGCAAGCCCTGAATTCAGGCACTTAGCTCCAAGGAAAT